TGCTCAGTGCAGGAAGAGGATGAAGTGTAGTCATATATCTGATTGTAGGATTGCTCCATTTAGGTTTAAGGGGAACTTTCCTTCAAATCCGTATGAAAAATAGAGAAAGAATGACTAAACTAAGTGGTATAAGGTGTTTTTTGAAGTTGACATCTTAGCAGGACTCAAAAAAGCGTTGGGGATACAGACACGTGCTGTTAGAGCAGATGAAATGTGTGTCCACCACGCCGTGCCAAGCAGAAGAGCGCCTCTTGCCCAGGGCAGCTGTTGGGGGGCACTAAGCCCTCGTACTTCAGCTTCCTATTTTAGAAATTTAACATAGGTCATTGTGATCGATCAAATACCGTTCTGACGCACCAAGTATGAAACCCAAACAGGTGGCCTCTCATTACGTAGAAATGTTTTACTTAATGGCATATTCTTTTCCACATTTTACATCTGCCTACAAAAATTGTTGGAAATGGGGCAGAAAGCTGTTTGTAAAGAAACAATATGACCTTCATTACCAAACCTACTCTTTATTTGCTCATAATTTTCTCAAAATCTGTCTTGTGGACTGACAGGTGTCATGCACAAAGGTGAATTTTGTTGGACTTACCAAAATGTGAAAATAAATTGCAGCAGCTTTTCACATTAAATGCACACAGCTTCCGTTGTTCCACAGCCAGCTCAATGGCAGCTGACCAAAGCAACTTCATGCTTCTAGGTGAGTGGCTCCAGCAATTTCTATAATCCGGAAAGAAACCCAAAGAAAAACTCAGCTCCAAATTGAATTAGAGAAAAATGATAAAGCATTCAGAAATGCCCCCTGAATGTACCTGAAGGGAGATCGCTGAACAATTCTGTGATTCTATGATAAATAACGTAGTCGAAATTCCAAGCGGGTTTTTGCCACCAAGTCTACCTGGTTTATAAGCTTTCTTAGTCCCAGTGCTAAGTCTGATTTTTTTTATTTTTTTTTTTAGAAAAATAGGAGAGAACAAGAGAAAAAAATGAAACCAGACCTAATACCTTTAGCAAGGGTGCACGTTTTGTACCACTTGGTAGGTAGGATAATACAGATCCTGCTCTCAACAGCAAAACAAGTAGTTACAAAACTGTCGTGAAATAATAAATCTGAAAGGGTTAAACAGGAAATGGATGGATAATCTGCATATCCGTTATCGGATATAATAACAGAAACTGCTGCAAGAGCTGCTGTTCCTATCAATGTTCACTAGGATAAGGAAGTAGAAGTTCAAATAATTTTAAAACGTCAAAGTTTTTTCTTACACTGAAGAAAGTGGGGAAAGGGGAAATAACCACTTTCCCTGCAATACGAAAAACTTCATCTGCTTCTGGTTAAGTCCTCAACCATTCTCTATCCTTTCCTTTGCACCCGCGAAAACATAAACTTTTAACATTGCTGGGTTTCTGCCATTTATGACCTTGGCATAGTTTGTTAAATACATTCAACATTCCATTCTGTCTTGGAAAAGGATTCAAGGAAAAATCCTGAATGTTAGGAAAGTCCGAAATTCTAAGCCAGATCTGGAGTTTTGCAATTAACCTTTATTTCCATTATGAGAAAGTGAAATCTCTCACAATTTTAGATTATCAAATAACATTGTTAATAATGATCACATGCACAAAGTGCATTAAGAAGTTGCCTAATAGAGCATTAGAAGGGTACCAGCGGGTCAAGGGCTGTATATCATCAGATCTAGAAGACGTGGACTGTGGACCCCAGTTATTGCACAGCCAGTGCCATCGGGCACTGTTTAATCAGAGGTTACTCAACACTTCGTAGACACTTTGAGGTCTACAGAGGGGTTGGAAAGGAGTACCAGAGTTTTGAGGCAGTTTTGGGGACTGTAGGAAGATTCCAGGTGATTGGGGGTGGGGAAAAGGATCTCTCCCTTTGGCTGCTCAAGTTCCTTTCTTTCTTGGGCCCACAACTTCCTCTGCCCCTTTGTACCAGTCTTCTCCTGCATCCATTGCAAGAAGCAACTCTTCCTCTTTACTCCATAGCCCCTATTCCTCTTCCAGTTAGAAAAAAGTCCAGCCAGAATAAAAAAAAAGTTGGAGGACTTCCCCTTCCTCCCTTCTCTGGGGCTTTCTTCTCCTGTTCCTAAGGACCAGAAGTCCCTCTGGGACTAACTGCAGGGACAGGCTGCAGATGCTGTGAACATCTTCACCTCTTCTCAGTAGGCCCTGTCCAGGCAGCAGCCATCTCAGGCTCACCTATAAGTAAACTGGACAAGCAGCCAGTCTTGGGAATCTAACTTGCCTATGCTTTCAGCCAGCTCCAAAATTGATTAATACCTTTACCGGCATATTTTGGTGCTTATTGTGCTTCCTTTGTGGAGGGAAACAAAGCAGGCAGTCTTGTGTCAGGTCAAGTTCATGGTTAGGCAATGGAGGCAAACTTTGGAAGACAGCCCTGCGTACTCAATCTCAGCATGATCTGTGATTAAAATGAGTAACATATAAATGATAGGTGAAGTAAGGCTGGACCTTATCATAAGCTGGCAGCCAGCAGGTGGTTTTGTGGCTAACAATTCAGGCTTTCTCTATGGTCATAGTCTGGTGATAATCGTACTTTTTATGAGTGCAAAAAAGGTTCACAAAATGTCAGCTATGGCCACTACAGATCTTGAGACAAGAGTATTAGTATTCACTTCACCGAGATGTTACCGGCACAGCAGGCTGTAAGGGTATTGCCAAAGTCAAAGACAAAAGTCATACCCATCTTTCAGAAGCAAATACAACTCCTCTAGGGAGATGGTACTAGATTATGCTCCTTCTGTGTGTTTTCGCCTGCCTGGTAGCTGCCTCCTTATGACTCAGTAGTTCAGCAGCACAATGCCATCAGTCTCTGTTGTTGCTGCTTTCTCCATGGCAATGCTTTTCCACATTGCTGATGGATGATGTACAGACCATATCCCGACTCTGCAACCAGTCTGACCTCTGGAATATTCTCCAGAAGTTGTTAATTAGGAGACTTAGTTATTGGCATAATTCCTGGTAAGAGTTTTCTGTTTCACACACAATATTTTCCCACCAATATGAAATCTGTTCTCTAAATCAGTGTTTATGCTGCGATGGGATGGTTTAGTGGGAATGATTTCTTCACTTGTGATCTCTCTCCTTTGACACTCAGCACAGTTATCAGCCTTTCAGAGTATATGAATCTGTGAATATGAAAGTACGAATGTCAAAGGCTAAGGAGCAGAAGGGACTACCTGAGTCACTGTTTCCAGTCTCCTGCAACACTTATTATCATGTCAGCTCTTCTAGAAATCTGTCAATGCTCCTTCATAAAAATGGTTGGAACATTAGGTAGAACAATTAGCAGTTACAAACTTCTATATTTCCAGCCTAAATGTCTGGTGGCTGGAGTGTTCTCTGTTTGAATTTGTCTGAACGTTGTCCTGTATCCAAGATATCTTCTGCTCTTATCTCCCAACCTCTTTATAGACTGCCCATATTCTCAGCCTTCGTTTTGGCAGATAATCAAGCCAAGCTCTTCCATTGTCTGAGTTCCTTCTTCAGCTGGTCAACAACATCGTTAATGGCAGCAGGACAGAGGCTTCATCTCAAGTCCATCCATTAGTTATCTACTTCAGCCTAATAACTTTCCTTTTCAACACGACTCTTACCATAGCCCAGTAAACTATTCATCTGACTTAATACTTTCACATCTTCTCCAGATTAACCAATATGTTATCGTTTCATACAGTGCTTTACTAAACCTCACATACCTAGGATCCTTGTCTTCTTAAAGGATGAACTTGCCTATCAAACAAGGCTATCTGGTCACCCTGGCATGATCTGTCTACAGCAATCAGTGTTACATTTTGTCTTATTCTACCATTCACTTCTACGTCTTTAACATGTTTCTTTCCAAACTTGTTCTAAAGGCCAACATATCAGAAGAGCTGGCCTTCACTACTCCAAATTGCTTTTTGTGTGTAACTTAATGTTCCACATTATAGAGACTTGGGGGATGTAGATTTTATCACCCACTGATCTGAAAACTCAGTTCAGCTCCAGGTCAGGACTGGAGGAATGCTACAGACACCCAACTGTCTCCCCAAGAGCTGTTGACCGAGCCAAAACATTTTGTCTTCCTTCTCACTTCTCTGCAGTCCACCCCATCGTTTCAGATGCTGCTCTTCACTCACTGCACTGCCTACCTTGCAATATATTATATCAGTATTTTTCCTCCATCTGCCCATCTTTCCTTGACCCCTTTTTAACCACTGTGTTATCTTCATTTACGTGATTTTATTTTTTAATTCCTATGTACTGTCAGTTCTGATTTCACTCTATCCTACGGGATAAGTATGGATGCAAACTCTGACGGCCAAGATATTTGCACTCAGCTGGGAAATGGAACCTTACATATTAATCTCATTTATTTCTGCTGCATTTGGGTGAATGGCATTTTACTGGGAGACACTTATCCTATGTTGCCTTCATACATTTTTTCCATTCTACTCCCACGTACCTCCCGTAATGTCACAACTCTTTCTTTATTCAAATTCTGCAAGACTCATTGATACTGTGACACAAAGAATTGCCATGGTTCTATCCATGGATGATGACAGAAGTCTTCTGTTACTAAATATCATGTGCATCTTGTTCCTCTCCCAAATCATACCTTGGTGGTATGTCACCAGGGGTATGATCAATTTGGGGCAAAATTTGTCATTATTTCAAAAACAGCTAAGACATTGTTGGTGATTCAGATGCTGGTGACAGCCTAAAAGATTAAATTATTGGCCAATATAGCAAGAATAATAATTTACTCCTTTAATGCTTGTTAAATATAATAAAATGTATAATCTATTAGTATATGACATGATAGCCATGATAATTTCTATACTAATAATTTTTAACTACCACTATTTTTGAAATATAACAAAATGCTTGCTTTATATCCACACTGTAGGAAAGGGAAACCTTTCTGAAGATCTGCTTTTCTTCTGCCTAGTTTATAATAGACACTTTCTAAGAGTAGTCAAATGCCGATTTCTATGCAGGAATGTAGGTATATGTTGCGTTATTCCCCTCATGCTCTTCCAGGATCCAAACACTTTCAGCTGGGGGCCCTCTTGTGTTCCTTTGGATGAGCTCTGACAATAGGATGCTCTATGAGCCTAACATTAAAAGATTTTCAGGAGCTTTTTCAGTCAGGATCAAATGATCTGCTCAAGAGGGTTTTTTTTTAACCTCTAGTTATACTTCTCTTCCTGAATTTTAGGACAAGAATAGGTATTTTAATATTAAAAAAATATTTTAAAGTTTGGTTTAGCAGTGTTTTCCACAAGACTTAAACAGAGCTGTTCATAAAATTATGTATTGAGAAAGTAATTATTTGATGTGCACAAGGTCGTCTTTGTTTCTGTGACTCTCAAGCAGATAGCTATGGAAAACCAGATGACTCTTCTCACATTGTTGAGTGATTTGTTTGATTTTGCTGGAAAATTGTAACCTTTTGATGAGTGACTGTTACCCTCTCACAAGCCCTTGCCAAGCATCTGAAAGTAGTTTGTAGCCATGTATAAGCAGTTCAGTATTTTTCAGTACATAGAGTTTTTCCACTAACGTTGAAGGACAAGGTTTTTACTTGACGCCAGGACTGCTAATTTCTGCCATTGATGCCGGCCATGCTTTTAGTATTTGGCTGTTGCTAATTAAACCCATGCTTTTCCCAGCTATGTATTATAAGCTGAATTTCACAGAACAGCGAAGGTGAAGGAGGAGGGCTAAAGCAGTCAAACACCACTAAGTGGTGTTAGGGTCTGTGTAGGTCTAAGGATTTGCTATTATTTTTTATTATACCTGAAGTGCAGTTTATGTTAGAAAGTCCTATCAAACAAAGGAAGTCATATTACAGAGTGGAATGTAAGAACTATTTAGGTTTCCAGATCTCCATTTATCTGATTACATGATACAAAAGTAAGAATAGAACCACATAAAGATGTGTGTTATACAAGGAATACTCCTATTTCCTGTGATGAGTTTTTGATATCGTGTAAGAAAATGACATCTCTTATCTACAAAGGTATTTTCCCCTTATTTGATGTCAGAGGGAAGGAAACCCCCAACCTGTCCCCACTGAGGCATCCCACAATACCTATAATAATTCACACTATGTTCTTGTGTCTTTTCCTATATGAGAAAACTTTCCCTTTGATTTAATATTCAAGGTGTACATGAGTATATATAGGCAGCATGTGGTAAAAAGGCATAAATCAAACGTAGCTTTCCTGGAAGCAAAAATGCTGTTCCTCTATATCCTCTTATTGAGTTGCTGCTTATCTGGCTCAACGGGCAGCGCAATAGAAGAATTTCAAGAAAACTTCAAGGCTCTAAGGCATCTAGCAAGAAAAAAGGTGGGTCATTATCTTTTCTCCTTCATTTTCTACAGTTCTTTTGATGGAAGTATGAACTCGAGTCTGGGCTAGTTTCAGCGCTAGTTTGTGTGTCCTGTATTTTGTTTGTTAAATTAGAGATGCTGAAGGCACTGCGTGTCAACCTCTCCTCAGAAGCTGGCGCTGCAATTGTTTCCCCAAAGGAAGTTCAGAAATAGAAAGCCTGATGAAGACGATATGTAGTTAGAGATGCTTAACAATGTGGCAGTCACTTAGAAGAGAAATGGCTTCTAACTCTATTTTCTTTTTCTTGAATTTTAGATCTTTGTTCCAGTACCTGACGGGAAATTTCAGGTAAGGCTTTTAAAGCTTCTCTGTTACTGCTGTTGTTAATCATTTGGAAAACGATGATGCTTTGTAGGAGATCTTGAGAGAAAGAGAGAGTTAGATTACTAAAAAAGACCGAATCTCAGAAAAAGGGAAGACACGTGCTAATGGTACGTTCATGAGCAGCTCTGTCAAATTCAGTTAAGTCCCTCGCATGCAAAACATTGTGGGAATAAATAACCAATTCTGAGACCGTGGCCTCCAAGACTTGGCTGTACTCCTACTGAAGTCAATCTCAGGAGCTCTCACAGGGAGCTTAATACCGAGTGTGTGCTCAACATTACTGTATGAGGTGCAGACCCTGGATGTGACCTGCTGTCATTTTAGAGAAGAAGGTGGTGAATACAGTTAGTACTGGAAACGTTAAAATGTTCTTACCTCTTGGCAAACAGACGAGTTGAGAGTCATAAAGCATAATGGAGTTTGTCTCCGAAGGAAACGATTTGCAGGCTTGACAAGTTATTGCACCCAGCCTTGCTGATCGGTGGTTTTCAGCCTGTGGTCTGCAGATTTCTCAGGCTCTGTGAACTGAAAAAAGCTTAATAAAAAAATAACTAAGAACAGGCAGCCTGTTGTTGGGAGGCCTTATCTTTAGAGGAAAAAACGTTTAGGGTTTGCAACTTTAAAGAAGGTGAAGAGCAGCACTTTATAGACAGAAGAGTACAGTGCTTCCGTCCTTCCGTGCGGAGATGGTAGCTGTGAAAGGCAATTAGCAGATCTGATCTCCTCAGGCTACTCAGTGTGATTTTGATAAAACTGCAACCCCAATGGATTTTAGTCCTCTTCTACAACTCTTCCCTGTCTTTCCTTTACAATGATTTTTTTTAATGTTATATGCTTTTTTTTTCTCTCCTGCTGTAATTTTTATCAAATCCTAGAAGACATAGGAAAGTACCCCTTTCCCTAACTGTACAGAAATAGAGCAGGAAGAGACAATTTCTGTTTCTGCTGTGCATGCGGTTAGTTATTGAATTTAACAAAAGATAAAATTTAACTCATTTGACAGAATGTAATTTTTCTGCTGTTTGATTATTTTTTTTTTAGTGCGACCATGTTCCCTGTCAACTTGAAAGAACCATAGAAGAGCTGAAAGTTCACAATGAGAGTGATCAAGTGAGAGCACGCGTTTCTCTGATGGAGAAAAACATGGACCACATAATATCAACTTTAAAGATAGCTCATACAGTAAGTTTCTCATCAGTTATTTGTAGTGATTTAACAGGTAAAAATGTGAAATTCCTGTGAATGGACTGCTCCTTTGTTTTCAAAACATATGAAATCAGGCAACTCAGCATCCCGGTCAACTGAAGTCAATAGTAAAATTTTGATACCATCTCGGTACACTCTTCATTTCTCACTGGTAAGCATTATGGCTGCTGCTCAGCAATGGTTTGATAGAAAACACTTACCTGAAATTCATAGAGTCTGGATGGAAGTCACAGTTTTCTAAAAGATGCATCACCCTTAGACGAATCCTGGACTTGTCATTAGCCGGGAGATTAATTAAAGAAAAGGCCCTAAGCCACATCTCAAGAAGCAAAGTCATCCAGGAGGAAATACTCGCGATTCTCAAAAGTCTTCTTTCCGTTCATTCGTGAAGATCTCTCTTTCCTCCTGATTAAATATCTCCTTGAACAGCCACCGACAGCTCCGCAGCAATATGCTTTTTATTCTCTCCCTTATTATCACCATTAACCTGTCATTATTTTTATTCTAGAAACCCAAGACAGACCGTTCCTGTCCAATGACCGAGATGCGACTGCCGAGAGCCCTGAAGCGCTATGAGGAGTTCTTTCAAGAGCTGTACGAGAACTGCTGGAAGCCCTGATGATGGGTGCCGGCAACCCAGCTTGTTGGAGGTGTCTTTCACCCAACACTAGAGCCGGTTCTGAGGGATTACTGCAAAGCTGCCACAGATCGCCATGAAGAGACACCACAACTTTAACATGAATGTTTTATATGTGTATTATCAGATATTTATGTCTTATTGAAGGTATTAACATATTTATTTTATTTATAAAGACCTTTTGTATTTGTACAGAGTCATAATGTTCACAGGGATAATGAATAAAAGAACTTAAAATTATTAATTCTATTGTGAGTTTTGTGCGCTATAATAATTGGAGTATGTGTCAGGGCTTGAATAAAACTAGGTGAATGAAATAAAAAAAACACAGATTAGAAGGCTGATCCACAAATGTGCTCTTCTTGCAGATATTTACAAAATTACCAGAATCTTTGTCTTCTGAAGGTGGGAGAAAAAAAAAAAGAGAAAAGGCTGTCTTTTAAATACGTGCGTAATTAAGTTTGAAATCACCGTGTTTTCCTGAAATTCTACAACGTAATTGCAGTGCAGGATACCTACATGCTATGCATTCTTCATTTAATTAATGTATTTATTGTGACAGCAGATCACATTTATTTTCATAGTACTCCAAATTTGGTTTCATCTTACTCCAAATTTGATTTCAACCCATGCTATCTTCAAACTTTGGAGCAAAGAGTGAGGAATTCTTTTTTGTCAGCTCAGTGCCAAGCCAAAATGAGCCCCTGAGCAGGTCTCTCAGGGGTTATTGCAGTAGAAATATAGTAATGATAATTGTAACAACAGAAATAACAGCGGTAGCGAAGGATGTCTAATTTAGGCTGGATTTGGGCTTTTTCTCAGGATTGCCTTAAGCTATATTTTTCATGAAGTGAGGAATGTATTTGTGAGTTACATTTCTTAAACAAAGATATGACATTTTTCTAGAATCTGCAGTGCCGGAGGAAAGTGATACTTTTGCTAATGGGTGCAAGTGTGCATTGGTTTCCAGATGAAATGTAGTGGATTTGCCAGGCTGGCTTTTGGAGCATGAGGTGGTTTGAGGACATGCCCAGCTAGGCATTGAGTAAGTTTTAAGTCAAAGATACTTGGCATAGATGTATTTTGGGAAGTCACAGACCCTCGCCAATGAAGTAAACCATGTGACTAAGTAATCGAGCATAATTATGTCCAAGGAACCCAGAAGGTTTGTGAAGGTCGTAACAGAGAGACAAGACATGACAAGTAAAGAAATGAAAGGGTGCACAGCAACGTGATTCCCCTCTTGGTGACTGCGAAAAGCCAGGATGAATCCAGACGCTGTTATTAGCAGTGCGACAGTGGCTAATCCGTTGGGTCATGAAACGAATAAACTTTACCCGGAGTGAATAAATACAGCAGTAAAGAGGAAACGCAAAGGACACCGTCCCACAAGCCAACGCCTGTGCTGTTAGTCACTGACGGAGGTTTAGCAAAACATCAAGTTTTGAAAGAACCAAACATGAGAAGATACCTCTCTAAACAGTGCTTCTCCGACACGGCTCCTGAGGAGGCACAGCGCATCTTGGAGATGCAATTAGCCGGGAAACCTGACCCATACAGGGGAGGAATCAAGTACTTGACCAACAGCTTTCACAAGTAACTGTAAATGATGCACGACTGCTAAAATTGATGCAAGGCAGAGAGCATCAGGGTTTTTTTTAATTTATTTTATGATTCATTCCAGCTTTCTGCATAAAACTGAAAAATAGCAACAAAGCCTGCGTTTCACCATGATGTTTGCGGAAACTATATACTCAATCAAAACAAACAAAAAAATACCTTTCAACCAACTGAGTGACTGTAACTTTACTACAGGTCATCGTAAAAACTCACCTTTCCTCCCAAAGCATGCTAAAACATGTTAAAAGTGTCAGCTATAATGTGATGTACCTACAGGTGGGGATGATATCGCGCACCGATGCCAGGCTAAAACTCATGAGGCAAGCACAGACAAATGCTACTGACTGCTTAAAAGACCACAGTGGAGCTTAATTAACTAATAAGCAGAAGAGAGCTCTAATTACAAAGTAGTTTCATGCAACTTTGCCTAAGTTCAGCTCATACCCACAAGAGTGTTCTTCCACTATTCCTTCACGTTACCTTGCAGCGGGTCCATCCATGCAGGGCAGAGCGCAGGGAAATCTGTTTGCTTTCCATTTTGCTTTTCTGGGAACATTTTACCACCTCCATCAGTACAGGTTAACAGAGCTAGGAGCACCCGTGATTCTATTTTCATGCTATCTGCTCTTCAGTAATACCCGTGCCAGGATTGTAAGACAAATTGGAATCCCTGAGAGCATTTAAAAATACCTTGAGTGGGAGAAATGGATTTTTGGTGCACAGAGGGATTCTGCTGCCAGTGTGGCGCATCATCTGTCTGCAGTTTGGCCAACCTATTGAAAAGTCATTTCAGAAGAGAAAGGAAAGGTGCTGTTTCAAACCAGACTCATCATGACAGAGGAATGAGGTTTTTGGGAGCCCTGGGAGGGAAAGGCTGTACATGCAAGGGCAGAGGAAGTTACGAGGCTGGCTGTGCAACCTTTCAAATTCACATTCAACATATGCAGTGCTGTTCACTGCTGCGGGTGAAGAGGAAAACCATTAAGGCTTTCATTTTCAAGATGTATAGGGAAAAAAAAAAAAAACCAAACCCGGGCAGAGCCTGGTCTTGGGAAGGTCTCTCGCTGAATGCGGAGGGCACCCGGCGCTGAGGCAGGCTCCTGCTGCAGAGTGTGATGTCTGGTGTGGGAACTGAAACCCAGCGTGTCGCTCCCATGATAAAAATCAGAAAACAAAGAAACAAAACACTACAAATATACTGAATTGTTTAAGCTGGAAGATCTATAATCACAGGTTGCTGAGCTGCTACCAGTTTCATTTTCTGGCCAGGAAAGCCAGAGGATTTTAGGACCCAGAAGAGATGCTAAAGCTGCCAGAAGGAATTGCTGAGATTCGAAGAGGTGAGCATCCCACAACTGCTCCTCTGCCTCGGCACTTCAGGGAGTTACAGGATAACGGTTTAGAATTTTTTTATTTTTTTAACTATGCTGGCTACCATTCCCACTGATGTTTCCCCATGATGCTGAGAAGTCCAGCCTGGGCTGGCCAGTGGTCATGCCTTTGCTCCAGACTGGGACAGAGAACGAGCAGCAGAGGACATCTGCATTTCCATTAGTTTTGGCTGAGACCTGAGCAACAGCTGGCTCCTCTGGGTCATCTTCCTTCCCCTGGCTTTCCTCTTCTCTTCTGCCCTTCATTTCCTCTGTAGGAAGTGTCCCACATTGTGCAAGTGCTTGGCCAAGCTGGGCTTTGGGTGGCACCTGATGGCAGCCCACTGGGGATGGTGTCTGGTGCTAGCGAGGGACCATGCTGCTCTCCTCACCTACCTGAGCAACTTCTGCCCTGGCTTGCCTTTAAGCGGCAGCAATAGTGGGCTGCCAATAAACACATCAAGGTCATCTGGGCAACATTTTCTCTTTTCTTCCAGGTGTCTTTTAACACCACCGAGGAGACTGGCAAACCAGGCATTCCTTGCGATGGATCACTTCGCCTGGAGAAAGGGAAAATCCATGAAAACAAAAGCCTTGGTTAGTCCTTACATTTAAAATCCGTTATGCTTTTGTGGTGTATTTGGTAATACATAATTAATAAATTACATACATTAATTAATGAGTACCTATTTAATAAACCTTACATACTAAGTTTAGACTAACACTGTAAGAACCAGCCAGAGCATCATTCCCAGTGTAGCCCTGACCCAGTCCACCTCTGCTTGGCAAACTCCCATCTCCCCAAGCAGAGTTAAAACCTTTCTCCCCTGAATATCTGGTCAGATATTGCGCATATTGCTTCCAGAAAGCAGTCACTCCCACGGACTGTTACAGAACTGTAAACATTCCTCCCAACAGCCTGTTTCCTAAGAAAATATTTTACTTTGTGTAATTTAGGTCAAGACTGTTCTTTATAAAATTTCTCAATTTCCCTGGCTTGGGACTGGCCTTTGAACAAGCAGCAGAGCGGTTTCTGTAGCAGAGGTGTGGAGCAGCACTACTTTGGGATGCTCTTATAGCAAGAACAAAGTTCAGGGATTTACCTTTTATCTCCACTGCATGAAGCAAGGTTTCTGCTCGCTGCTGGAGCATCCCAGCCTGGGTTTGGGGATGCGTTTGTCCCTCGCTGTATCAGCCACCCTAACAAGGGGAATGCATGGTGGAAGGCAGCAAATAGCTACATATGGAGTCCCTAAATGCTGTGAATATGACTCAAGATCCCCTGCTAGTGACCTGCTTTTTGCACTTACCTGGCTTTTCTCTCTCACTGTCTGGAAGAGGAGCATAACTAAAGGTAAAAGAGTCTCTACAGCCCCAGGAGTTTGGGATCAGAAAATTTGCCACGGTAACAGAAAACTCCGTTTCAGCTGGATTGCTTTAAACTAAGCCCCCAGCACAAAATATTGAAACATAGCCACTGAGAGAAAGCATTTCAGAGCATTTCTGCAGGTTAGTAAAAGCATATTCGTACTGTAATAGAAATCACAGCTGGTGATGGGGAGCCATCCTGGCCCCCACCGGCTCGTCCCTGGGCTTTGGGCTGGATACAGCTCAGGAGGCGGCAAACCCTGCAATCCTGAGCAGCACTGCTTTCCCAGGAGAGAAGGGTTCCCACAAACCACAGCTGCAGCTTTTTATGTGGCCAAAATACCTGGGACTGGCTGCAGCTGAAATCCATACAGGACCACAGAGCATCTGCTGGGGTGGGACATTGCAGCCACTTCAGAGATGCCCAGGAAACGCTTAGCTTTAACAAATGAGACATACAAAATACCTGGACTGGCTGCAGCTGAAATCCATACAGGACCACAGAGCATCTGCTCGGGTGGGGCATTGCAGCCACTTCAGAGATGCCCAGGAAACGCTTAGCTTTAACAAATGAGACATAACATTTACTAGTGAGGTTAACTGATGGAATGTAGTTTCCCTTTGTGAGATTATATTCATCAGAAGCTGCCCATTTATTAAGGAGGATTTAAAAAACAAGATACGGTCTCCAAAGCCCCATGATCTCCTCATCATCTAGCCTGCCCTTTCAGAGAAGGGAGGAAAAGGACTCAACGCAGAGCCTATCACAAATGTCACTCTGCCCTAGGGCTCCATTTACCCCCACACAGTTGTCCCTTTTAACACCGAAACACCCACGCGCCGTTTCATAATGTGTCCCCTCTGACAGTGCCTGTGGGCTGCACGCCCTGGCCCGCAGTGCTGGGGCACCCGAGGACACCCCTCGGACCCCCTCCCCAGACATGGCTCAGACCCCCCTCGGACAACCCTCGCTTCTTGTCACCTCAGGACAGGAGGGGATGGGGGGATGGGGTGGCAGAGGGCTCCCTACCCCGAAGCACCCGGAGCTACCTGCGCCCTGCAGCGCTGCTCCACCGAGTCCTCCGTCACCCCTGGGACCTGCCCTGGCAGAGGAGTGCAGGTGGCTTCGAGCAGCCAATATTGCTGTCTTCAGGGGAAAGATGGTCTAGGAAATGAAGTCTGTTCCTGGTTTTCAGAAATTTCCATTGTCGTGAGCCTGGCAGGCTGGAGAAGCACAAGCTACTGCACCACATCCATGCTGCGTTATGTACTCACACCAGCGAAGAAGCCTTATCTGAGCATCATAACTTCATGCTTATCTAGATGAAGGAGCAAAACCAGCTACTGCAAACAGTTGCAGCTTCCAGCTAATGATGCCAACTAAAAGATATGGAGGCAACAGTAGCACATGATGGCTCACTGGTTCCCATGTGCCACTTGAGGTTCACCTCCTCTGGGCACCACAGTGTTTCAAGCTGCTGTGGTTTCCACAGGGGCTTCATGGCACTGCTGCAGCCGGGGGATCAACCCTGCACTGGGGACCAGGCAGCGAGCGCTGAGCAGCTCCCACAGCCACTCAGGTGCTGGCAACACAACTCAGCCACAAGCAGGTTCAGATAAGCTCATGCTTAAGCAAGCTCAGCATTAGTCTCGCCCATTACGGGCTTGGTGAGCATGCTGCGATGGCTGACCGACTTGCTCAATTCACACAAGGCATTCACCAAGTCTGTCAAGCCTGTTAATGCAGGCACGTACCCACGGGAATCACCGTTTCTTGATGCAGAGAAGCCCTTGTCCTGGGTGATGATCCCAGCTTGCAGCTCTGCCATCAGCAGCACCTTGCACAGATTTTTGGACAGCTTTTTTTTCACATTTGTAGCATCATCTGATTCTTTTTTCAATAATATTCCTAAATCAGCCATAACATAGACATTGCTTATCACACCCTGACTCCCACTGAAATACCTATTTCATTAGTATCAGAATTCATTAATTCACTAATTAATTATATTATATATTCACTTCCATACTCCTCACTGTTCCAAATTCAAACTCGGGCACTTTGGATTAATCCAACAGTTTGGATTTCAATTTACTGTCTTCTTCTCCAGCCTCCAGACTGTCTTCAGAAATATTTTCTTTTTATTCTTATTCTTATCCTTACCGATGCTGTCAGTGTTTGTGGTGCCTTCGCTCTGCCCATACTCACAGATCAGACAAACTCTAGAGGGATCAGAGGTGTAGAGTATCGAGAAGGTGAGGACCTGTTGCTTACATTCCCCCATTTTGTTCTTACATTGTCCTTCAGCTTCTTAACCCTGCATTTGCCTGTTAAAAAAAAACAAACAAAACCATCTGAACAGTAACGAACCTGAGGCTGGAAGATGCGACTACAGTTTGTGTAAGGACACCAAGCCAGCTTGGAGAGAAAACCTAGCACTTCAGCAGTTCTGTTATCTCAAGCAGTAGAGGAAAATTAAAAGGGAGGGGAAAAAGGAAAAGAAAAACCCCTGCATTGCCAAGTAAAATGGTTTTGGAAGAAAACAGAGTGGTCACACAATGGTGAAGAACCAGTCTTGTTCCTTTGGGAGCTAGCTAAAGCCCTGCTGAAAGACCAGCTCGTGCTGCTGATACGTGCAACAAAAACACCCCATAATTCTCAGGAACTGGGAATTATTTCCTGAATGCAATAAACCAAAATTTGCCAAGGGGAAAAAAAAAAAATCATACAGTTCATACAAGGTTCTGGGACAGTGCTAGGGTTCTCCAGAAGTGGTTGAAAATCCCAAATGCAAGTGAGGGGGGGAAAGGAAAGGCCTGAGGCATAAAATCTGTCAGCAGTTGTGCAGGCCAGGAACAGAAGTGGAGACAGATGTGCTCTGTGACGAGCGGCCCCGGTGCAGGGAGACCCGAGGTGGGGGGGTGGGAATGGGGGGGGACACCACGGCAGCAGCAGGCAGCTCCGTGGGAGATCCCTCGCAGCGGGGACAGGAACCACTGCGGTACGGGATGGATCAACCGTCAGCCGAGGAAAAGGTGAAAAAGAGAGGTTTCCCAACCAGCCTTGAGGTCCCACAGGAATTCAAAACCAAGTTGCCCATGGAGGTCTCCGGTGGTGGGGTCAAACCTCAGCTTGGCTGGCAGGTACAGCCCAGGTGCCAGACAAGGATGGATTTGCCCGAAAAATGTGCATCAGTTTGTGGGAGACCAAAAGAAACAAGCTGTAAAACACCAAAAACACCGCAGACCAAGAATGGGACTTAGTATTTTCAGCTTCACGGTTTAAAAATTCAGCCTGAGGTAGCACTGGTAGCACCAGGCAGGTTCTCCACAGAGCTCCCAGTGATGTGCCGGTGCAGAGTCCATACTCCTGCAAGGACACGATCCTTGGAGCTGCATCATGAGAAAGCTCTACGGGTAAGCATATGGTGCGAAAATAAACCGCTATTGCTGTTAGAGATGACAAACTGGGTATAGCAAAGTGGGCAGCAATCAGCTTGCGGGTTGGCTTGAGCTGAGCCACACAACCACTACTGCCTTTTGACTTCCCTAATTCAAAGTATTGAGATAACGAGGCACTTACTCGTAACTGCTGTGGCATCGGGCTGCGAGCCACTGGCCATGCAGAGCGGAGCCAGCAGATCTGCTCCTACCCAGCAGAAACGGGGCTGGCCCGCCTGCCGCTGTGAATGCTGCTCTCGCTGGAACCCTAAAGTAGAAAGCAAATGATAGCACTTTTTGAAAAATAACCCCATTTTTTTTGAAAAGACATCAAAAGGGTCTTTTTCCAGGTTCCAGGAAAGAGGGGAACACAAGTCACAGAGTTGGCTAATGTGGCTGGATAACAAGCTGTAACGCCTTCAGTGAATTAAGACCTTAGATGTGACTCTCGCAAACCTGGTGGGCAACCCCTTGGCAGCTCCTGGCTGGTGAGGCCACCGCTGTCCTGGCACAAAATCAACTCCCTGGGTCCCCAACTGTGCCCACAGGGTCCAGGCTGACACCCTGGGGGCATCCTGCATCCCTCCTTCCCCACCCAAAAGGAGCCACTTTGCTCTGCCCTTCCCCAGGGCCACCCTTCTGCTCCAGCACATGGCTTCTCCTGCTGTGAATTAATTCATTCTTATAGAATATCTGCATTTTGCCAGAATTTTGCCACAGGTTTTGTACAAATGCTATGGCCCACATATTTTCTCTGCCGGTTTTGGGTTTGTTTTTTTTTTTTCTTACATCACAATCTTTTTCCTATTGCATATCAGAAGATTGCACGCTGTTACCGGAGAAGCTCTGATTTCTAGAGAAGTGCCGTGGAGATGGCAACTGCTTGGTCACGCTTTGGGTCGGTCTATGTTTTACTGGTTTTTGTTGAAGGCCATATCCTCATATCTTTACTACCTACTTCCATGGAAATGCTGATTGGGTAAGGAGTGTGCCCCAAGGTTAAACACCAAATTTACTGGAACCTTTCTCTTCCAGAAAGTCTCAACAAATGGCCTTTTTTTCCTATCAGTTTCAAAAATCAATCTAGACTGTTATTTCCTTGAGGAGAGACCATAAAATGGTAGAGGACTAGTCCAGAAGCTCTTACAGGTTCTCTGAACACATCGGGAGGATGAAGACCCATCTCTACCTTCTTCTGCTAGCTGCAGGCATTTCTGCTGCTCCCCAAATAAGCAGCATGGCCGAATTACTGACATTATTACAGAAGATGTGTGAGGCAATGGCAAAGGATACTCAGGTAAATTCAACTTCCACTTTACTAATCTAAAATTCAATATACTGGAAACGTCTTGTTCTTGCCTATTCCCCTTTTTTGAAAGTCAAACTCTATTTAAGTGACATTTTATTTTATTAGTGTTAATGAAGGTGATATTTGAAAGGCTTAATTAATACATTATTTTTCAGAATCTGAGGATCGAAACTCCAGTCAATATAGACGTAAGTAAAACTCCTTTTGCTTTTTAAATAAAATTAATGTTTTCATAAATTTAGTCACTGGAAATTGAGATAGTTTTAAAATTATTATCTCCCAAAATACTCTATTGGTATTTAAGAACAAACAATGATTTTAGATGTAGCTATTCAAAGATGTAAATTGTTATTAGAGATATTAAATATTATTGTAAGATATAAAATGTTATTAAAAACAATCCAACGTTGAGTCACAGAAAAATATGCTGTGATGTGGAAGTAGCCAAGGACAGCAAATATTCTTGTTCTATGTTTTTGTATATCTGCAGAACACACACGCACAGAGTGATTTTCTGAATCAAAGGACAGTTAAAAAGGAAAGAACAAACCCGTTCACATTTCTTGCTTGTCCATCTGCAAAAATACTTCTGTTTAGTCTACTTTGTTTAGTCTACCTTTAGAAATGGCTTTTTATACCTTTACCATCAGTGAGGGGGTTAAATGGTTGCATTTCCACACCTTGTCTGAAGGATGGTGTCAGTGCCCCATGAACAAGGCGCCCTGCGTCTGTGAAGGAGGTCTCTCTTAAAGATCAAATTCCCCTTTATGCATTTACCGGCTTCTTTCGCATCTCCAATACATTTCTCCCGTTCCCTCTCGGCATAAAGGCTCTTCTCTTTGCAAGCCGACTTTAAACAACTTCCTCCTGATGCAGATGCTGCTAATGAGGCTTTTTTTTCTGCTGTGCATCAACTGGAAACTTGGTCTCATCAAGAGACCACAGCCCAGCACAGAGCTCTTCAGATAAGATCACGGCCAGCTGGCTATTTGTGGGAGTGCATTCTGAGTCATCAGTTTATTCAAGGAGCACAACAGTTCACATCTGTGCCAGGAGATAGCTACGGGAGGGTGGGGGGTTTTTTTGGTGGCATATCCAGCCCATTCCTTGTAAATTAGGTGTAAAGGTCCCAGCTCTGTCACTTCTCTCTGGGTCCTGTCTGGAAGAGCTCTCTTCCCAGGCTGGGGCTTGGGCTGGGCTTAGCCCCAAGTTTTTAATAAGGAAAACAGACTCAGGAAATCAGCAGCTCGCTCGTGCCTTTCCCTGCCGAGGTCCCCGACGCTGCCACCACTGCACCGGTGCCCGTCTCTCCTCCAGGGAGGAGAGCGGCTTCACTCTCACTTACGCTTTGGATACAGAGGTGAAAGAGAATTTCCCAGTGTCTTTGTGTTTTGTTGTTCATCAGTGGCAGAAGCAAGGAGCTTCCCAAGCAAGGCTGCGGGAAAAATTATCTTCCTTGTCATGCAGAATCCAGGAATGACTAGCAGAAGACCACGCATTGGTCGAGGACCTCACGGGCATGATGCAGCCCTTCAGCAGCTGTCTGCATTTCCTCCAACCTTCGCTGAGTAGTATTTGCTTCTCTTTTCATCACTTTCTTCTCCCATTACGCTTCTCTCCCATCTGTTCCTGTTGCTGATGGAAGCGTCCTCTCCTTCCCTTCCCTAGGAGTTTAGCTGCTCTCTTCCAAAACAAGCCCACATCAACAAGTTGCAACCATCGTCACTCTTTGCTTCCATCCTGTAACCCCTCCAGCCCTTCTGGCCACCTGGCCCAGACCGTAAGGTCTCTGACACAAACGCGAGCTACCGCGTTGTAGAAGAGGAGCAGTGTGCCCGGTGCATGGCCGCCCTTGGGACGGGACAAGGCGAACAGGGCTATGAGATGGAAGTGTGACTGTTGTCCCCATCTCTTCTAGCACGCAGATGTCAGCTGTCGCAGAGGTTAACGTCTCGGGTAGTTTCAGGTTCATTTATTTTCTTTCACTTGGGTTCAGACAGTTCTAGCTCCTGGAGCAGAAAGCATCTCACATCCAAACTGAAGACAAAAATCAGAATTTTCTGCCAAAATGAGCAGATGTAAGAAATCAAACTGGTCATCAGATGGCTGCAGAAGGGATAGGGCTAAGTCTTTCAATATTTATATGCTTCATAAACATACACTAGCAAAACCCATCATCTGCCAGGTTTCTGTCTGCAGAGTAAATGAATGTGCACATCAGTCAAGCTTGTTTGCCTGAGGCATGTGGAAATAGGAGCCCAAAAGTCAGTAACAATTTATTTGCCATGCAGGCAGCTGGACGTAGCTCAAGATGATTTTTAATAAACTTATTGTAGTTCACGGTTACAAATTCTGGTATCTCAGTTTTGCTGTTTCTTCCATTGTAGGATGTGAATTGTGTCAGCACAATCTTTGAAGGAATGGAACAGTTGAAAACTATTCCAGCTATGAAAAAATTTGGTGTTTTTTTCCAAAAATTTGAAAGACTGAAGCAATCGCTCACACCAAGCCTGGCAGAAGAGGTAGGAATTTATTTCTTGTATATCAGAGATAACACAGCAGAGATGTAATGAATTATGGATCACATTTTATAACTAAGCCCTTACATCTATAAAAGAGAATAATTTTTGTACTCACCTGTGTTGAGTCCATGGAAGAAGAAATCCTGGCATTACTTCACATTTCTACCCTTCCCTTGCCCTAGTCTTCAGCTTGACTCACCTCTAAAATAAGGATTCATGTGTGTGATCAGCATATTTAAGGTTTAAGGAAAATCATATCATTTATAAAATGATTTCAAGATTTAAAAGCTCTACAGGAGAATTAAATATTAAATAATTTAATTTTCTTGATTAACTTTTCAGGGGCAATGTGATACAGAAAGAAGGAATGCAACAATATTCATAGAAAAACTGATGACGTTCATCCGAAAAGCATCAAAAACCACAAGAACGTAGATTTATAAATTTCTAGAATAGCTGTAAATTTAAACAAGGAGCAAAATATTTATTTGTTTTAAAAGTACTCTTCCCTTGTGTTCAAATCTGACAGAGCACATGTCCGTTTCAGTGGTACTGCACTCGTTCGTGTTTGGCATGTAATCTCTGAAAGTACCGATGAAATGTCGTTCATATTTGTAGATGAAAATTTAAATCCTTCATAAAGCAAATAGCACAGGGTAGTACAGAAGGACCTGACTAGGCATAAAACTTTTAGGTTTCTTGTGAAAATGTCAAATTCATTTCTGAACAGTCACAGTGAGAATGAAGCAAGATGGATGCGAGCAGAAGCGGCTGGTGCACACTGCGCACCGTATCTCACCAGCCCCATGGGTGTCGCACGCCATGAACACCGAGTGATACGTTGAGATGTGATCCGAATATATTTCCTTTGCCTTTCTTTAAGACCAGGGTGGCCCAGTGGCAGAGGGGACCACACGCACCCTAGCAATATGGGCAAGGATCTGTAACTTCTCAGGTTTAAGGTCAAATGTCTGCTGGAAAGTTTTGCTGGCATTGCATAACTTCAGCGGAACGGGTGTTATTCTCTATAACGCACCTAGAAGAGCAAGAACGTGTACAGACCATTAAACCAGGACACAACTGATACTACTGAAATAGGCGATTTAGCTCAGGGAACTGGTATGGCTATATGGCTATACTGGGAAAATCTCCATGTTTTAATACCCATCTACAGTAAAGAGGGTTAATCAATATAATTATACGAGCAAAACTTTTTTAGAACAGAGCTGGCTTTGCCACTGCTTTGAAGCCAGATGAGGATGAACTGCAAAAGTCAGTCACACAATATTCCACCACTTAAGCTCTGCTTAAGCTTCGACATATATCTATCTCGCTTACCAGCAAGGAGTACAAGAACATTGTGCTCGCGCGTACAGGATCACCGTGATTTGTTTGCTTAGCACTCTGCCCAAAATCTTTCACAGGCGCCGAGAACCACATCCTGAGGTCTTCCTCTACCTGCAGCTTTGATAGATCAGTGTAAATTTGGTAACTAAAGATTTGTAAGGATCTGGGCACATGCCACTTAAAGAATTAATGTTTTATGTTTTTTTCTAAAGCTAATGGTGATGATAGGAACGTTTGGATCAGTGTGAATTTGTTTCTATGGTGTCAATTAAATTATATGACGTTTTATAGATTTATGTATTTTGGAGAAAGTATTTATTCTGTATTTTTATGACTTTTAATAAAGTGAATAAATGTTTGTCTCTGCCTTTTTTTTTTCCCCCTACAAATTTCTTCCAAGCTATTTCCACACTTGAGCAAATCTAGTTATTGTAAAATCTCTGATGGCCAAGGGAATTAGACTCGAGGTGAGTGAGCAAGTGTATTGCTCAAAGCTATTTCTAACAATGCACAAATTAAAAACCATTAAAGACCATTAAGGTGCTCACCTCTGTGATGGAGCTGAGCTCGCACGTTTGGTTTTACTGGAACAGAGCTGTTGAGGAGCCCCTGCTAGAAGATGGACTGATGGGCCATGGGGACCTAAGCGGCTGCTCATAGAGAAGTGTGCTGGTTTCTCTCCCTCCTTTTCAACAATTAAAATAGGAGGGGAGAGACTCGAATTGCCAGTCCAGCTACAGAACCCGCTGCAGGTGGCGGCGATGCCTGAAGCTTGAAGCCGAGCAGTTTTTCAGGGCTTATTCTCAGATGCAGACGCCTGCCAGCATCTGAACCAGCACCCCAGGTGCCGATTGTCCGGCTCGGCCTGAGTAACTCCAAGCACTGGGGATAAACGTGCTGCAAATAGAGGAAAAAAGCAGCCGGTGAGGTTCCTAATTAAAATAAATACCTTTTACATAAACAAGCATCTCCTCAGACCTGCAACAGAAATTACAGCCCTTGCCATTCACAAATAAACATTTGCAAAGGAAGCACCTTTGGTAGAAAATGTTTTCAATTTCCTCCTGGAAGCTGGAGGCTGCCACAACGGGAGCATCCCCAGAGCTGTCCAGATCCACACCCCTGGAGTCCCTGGCTATGCAGAATCCCCACCAGGAGCGAACCGCCGCAGCCAACCTCTACTGCTCTCATAGCTCAAAACGCAACCCCCACCTGCATAACCCCCAGCTGATAGCTCTGCACTTCACAGTCCGCCTATTAAAAAGGCTGGAAATAGGATGTTGGAATGAAGAACACGTAATAAAGCAGGGAATGCAGAAGCTGGATGCTGGCCGTAGGTTTCTCCTGTGCTAAGTGTACATCACCCAGAACAAGCGCAGAGTTCCCCAGCCCTGCAGAGGGTTTTAGATGCTACAATCAGCACTCCAAGCAGGCAGGGAAAATTAATACCAAGTAGAAATATTTAGGGAAAAAAGAAAAAAAAGAATAAAAAAAAGAACCAAGAGATTTTCCAGCATTTCAGTCTGAATTGGGATAAGACAAAATACCTAAATATTCTACAGGAATGAAAACTACGGAAAGATCTGGTTCTTTGAACCTTTGAACCTCTTTCCTTGCAGGCTGAGCGCCACTCCCCTGGATGACTCCCACCAGACCCCAGAGGACCCTCCGTCAGCCTTTTTACCACCTCCCGTGCCCTGCTCCTCTTTTTCCCCCCTTGCCCACTCTCCAGCGCGGGCAGCCCTGCAGGCAGCGGGGGCCTGGGCAGGCAGCTGGCACCACAGGCTCGCTGTGCCCTCCAGCGTTACGGCTGGGACGCCCTCGGTGCGCGAATCTGCATTTATTTCTTTCGGTTTGGGTTGTGTCTGGCCCGGGGCGTGAACTCCTATTGATGGGTGTCCCTGCCGGAGGCTGAGGGTACTGAAATATAATTTCTCCTTATACTTTTTACTTCTTTTTGCAAACTATTCCATAGTCTCTTTTAGCTGGCACAATGGCGATTCTGCCTTTTGTCTGCCAGGTGACCACCTAGATGCCATTTGGAGATAGTCTCCACCTTCTGAAGATGCTTTCTAGCATTGAACGCTCTCCCCTGCCCTGCTGTATAGTTTTTCTGTATTTCTTCCACATTTTCTGAGGATATTTTGATACGTGATATGCACTGGTATACTGACTTCAAAACGTATGTTGTTAAACGGCTTCCTGACCGCCTGCAAAAATTTGGGCACAGATGAAAGAAATGTTTCTGATGCTGGTATTAGAATTATCAGCTCCTAGAAAGCACAGCAGGTCGGAGAATCAAAACAGGCTTTCCAGAAAACCTGAAATCAGGGGAGTCCTGGGCATGTTCATCTTCCTTCAGCTCTGCAGATGGGACAAAGCTGCTCCAAAATCTCCAGCCAAAGCAGCTTTCTCAGGGAACAGAACTGCAGGTTTGTCGCTTGTAGGGTGGGACTGGCCATAACCCCAAACCCTAAAACCCCTCCTAGCTGCCAGCTCAGATGAGCAGGACCAGCAATTTCACCCTTGCAAGAGCAGCTACAAACCTGGTTAGCAGCTATTGCAGTCGTGGGCATCTCATCACAGAAAAGCCTTGTGTCAGGTGCCTCAAAGGAACCTGCCTCTTGTGTTCGTTTCTGCTCCTCAATCAGCATAAAATCAGATTGCATAAAACATTTAAAAAAAAAAAAAAAAAAGAAAAAACAAACAAACTTTCTGTGAACCTGAAACCTAGTTTTCATTTTCTACACAGACTCCTTAATTCTCACAAGCTATTTCGGAGCTCCAGGCAGCAAAAGCAGGCCGGTACTCACAGGGGCAATCCCATCCATGGCTGCAGGTGGGTCTGCAAAACAGCCTGAAATATGGTGATCTGGTACACAGCCCGACTCGAGCAGAGGGCGGAGGAGGCAGGATACCGATAATACCATTGCTCCGTAACGATGGTGCCAGGTACACTTAAAATCCTGATATTACCCTGGTATTGGTCTATCTTCACCCCAAATTTCATTCATTGCCACAAGAAAGGCTCCAATTTCAGCTGGAGAACACAGAGAGCTCTGGAGAAACATTTGGGCTGCCTTATCAATGGGTTTCCTCTAGCTCCCCGGAGGATGCTTGCATTTTTTGCTATAAATATCCCAGCATAAATTAATTCTTTAAAAAAAAAAAGTTTTAAATATAGAAGAAAGGAATGAGAAGCAAATTGAGAAGAGATTTTGTAGTGAGAGAGGTGGTTTCCTCCAGTGTCCTTCTAATTACAGAAAAAGCTTCTTGCAAAACTTACCAATTTTGGGATCATAAAAAAAATAAAAGCAGCTGAGCAACTGAGCAAGGCACCTGTAGTCACAGTGTTTCCAAGTGTTGAATTTCATTTGTTCGGAATTTCCTGGGTCTGACACATCCCGATACAAGGTGTCACGGTTACAACTCCTTTTTCAGGTGCTTCCCCGGAGACCCTCGCTGAAGC